GACCACAAGGTCTGCTAAATGCAGTGCGCTTGAAATTTTGGCCTTTAGGTGGCCGTAGTCTCGCACGCAAAACAGTACATCAATGTGTAACGTGCTTTAAATGTAAGCCCACTCTTTCTTCACAAATTATGGGTAATTTGCCTAGTGAAAGAGTTAATGTTTCAGCTCCATTTTCTATTACAGGTATTGATTTATGTGGCCCTTATTTAGTGAAATTTAAAAATCAACGTAAAGGTATTCTGAATAAATTGTATATTTGTATTTTTATATGTTTCGCAACAAAAGCCATCCATCTTGAGACATTAACAGATTTGACTTCCGATGCTTTAATTGCAACACTTAAACGTTTTACAAGTAGACGTGGCAAATGTTTCAAAATTTATACCGACAATGCTACTAACTTTGTTGGAGCGAATTCAAAATTGAAAAAATTTTATAAACTCATTAATTTCCCAGACAAAGAATTAGCTAATCATTTTTCGCAAGAAAATATAGATTGGAATTTTATTCCACCCAAATCGCCTCACTTCGGTGGACTTTGGGAAGCTGGGATAAAATCGGTGAAGTACCATCTTAAACGTACGATTGGCAATTTTCATTTCACTTACGAAGAATTCGAAACGATTGTCATTCAGATAGAAGGAATATTAAATTCGCGACCGCTGACTCCTCTTTCTAGTGATTCAGAAAGTTTCGAAGTTCTGACGCCAGGTCATTTCTTGATAGGGCGACCTATAACAGCAATTTCTGAGCCGTTTTTAACGGATTTAAAGGAAAACCGCTTAAGTCGTTGGCAAAAAACTACAAAAACTATACAACTTATTTGGAAAAGATGGAAGTCTGATTACTTGAATACTTTACAGTCTAGATCAAAATGGATGGTTGAAAAAAAAAATGATCTGATGATCGGCCAAATGGTTTTGATTAAAGAAGATTTTCTGCCAATTAACAATTGGCTTTTAGGGCGAATAACATCATTGTACCACGGTTCTGATGGAAAAGTCCGTGTTGTAAAAGTTCGTACCAAAACAGGGGACTTTAAAAGGACAATTAATAAAATAGCTGTATTGCCTATTGAAGTTTAGCAAGTTGTGAATTATGTTACTCAGTTGTTAGTAATTATATTGAAAATTATTTCTCTCAATAATTTTGTATTCATGTTTTGTTTACTTATTTTATATTTTTCTATACATATTTTATTGTTTACATGAATAACTGAAACTCTAATACTGGTATTTCATAATTAAATTTATGTTAAGTTCTTGCATGTGAACATAGCAAGGCCGGGCGGGATGTTGGGGCATTTTACGCCAACGAATCTCGCCAAATTATCGCCTCCTGCGATTGAGGCAGCAGACTTGAAGAAGAAATCTAACCGGTCTGACGTGAGCAATTACTTGTAACCGAAGCTCACAATTAAATTGTATTTTGCTTCACTGTAAATATTTGTATATGATGTTTTTCTAAATAAAATAATTAAAAACGAAGCAGTGAAGCTGGTCCGTCGATAAAAAATAACCTTTAAGAAAAATAAGTTTATTCAAGCTCTTTCTTTTAAATTCAAAATATGATTATCGAAATTCCCTAGGGAAACAGTTGCTAAAAATGTTTTGAAACGATAATAACAACGGTATGCCAAAAAAAAAAAAAAAAAAAAAATCTAAATTTTGTAAGAAAGCTCGGGATCTTCCGGACACATTTAACCCGCGAGCACACGCGGCGGGTATGTCATACCCATGTGCATTTTTCTTTTTGTATATTTCTCGCTCATTATTTCATAAAAGGACGAAACTTGGTGTAGCTGAGTTCAAGGTCACACATTTAAATGGGGGAAATTCCTGAGGTGGTAAGTGCAACGGTTTTTTAGGAACAGCATTGTTCGGGCATGTCATACCCGTGCGTGTACTCACGTTTCTCGGTACTTCTCGTACTTCGTACTTTTCGTTTTCAAGCTTTTAGAATAGGTTTTTCTTGAGTTGTAAGCATGACGCCGTATCTTCCTTACGATGAAGAGATGAAAAGATTGAGAAATCTCCTTGAAACAGTTTCTTCTGATGAGGATTCATTTAGTGAAGAAGAGGAAGATGTTGATGACGAAGAATATATAATAGTAATCATGATTCACCCATAGAGAGTAGTGATTCAGGTACAGAAACAGAAAATGAAACTCTAGAATGTAGCAATGAGTTTTTATGTTGGAAAAAATGGAACAAAAATAAATTCCGGACTAATATTAGAATTGGCGCCAAAAATATTATACCTAAACTCCCTGGAAATACAAAGTATTCTAAAAACTTCTCAACACCTTTAAATTCCTTGTCATTGCTTAGCGATGAAGATATGTTAAAACATGTAGTTTACAATACAAATATATTTATTCAATACGAGAAAATTTCACTCGTGAACGCGATGAGTACTTTTCGCAAAGCCTTAGGGATGCAGCTAATAGAAAATGTTCAAAATGAACGACGGCGAGCATCTGTGGTTCCTGATTCTGGACAAACGCTGACCACCGATGAACATGTTAACAATGAACTGTCCCCAAGAAAACCTAAAATCACTTGCAAGAGGTGTACAGAGTGCCCCAAGATAAAAGAGAAAGACTAGATTCATTTGTGAAAATTGTAGCAAAAGGATGTATGGAACATATGACCTCATTTTGTAAACAGTGTTAAAAAAATTGTAAGTAAATAATTTTTCCTCTCCTTATTGTTTCCTATTTTGTCTAAAATGAAGTATTAACTTTGTTTTACATTTAATTTCTTTTAAAAAAGCGATTAATTTTTTGACAAATTTTTAATTACAATTTTTTATTCGGGTATGACATACCCGGCGCGTGTTCTCGTGTTCGTGGGATCGGTGCGTGTGCTCGCGGGTTAATAAAATCTAATCTGGAAGTAACTGACCTGAAAAATTAGCAACTTCAGTGCAACAGCTACATAGTTAAAGCTGTGTTTTTGCCAAATTATTTATCGTAATAGTATTATAAAATAAATAAAAGATATTATTAGATATATAAAAATTACAGATTTAAAAAATGAAACATATTAAAAACTTTAGTACTTAACACCACGGCGCCATCTAGTGGCCACCGCGTGTAATACAGCGTTCTGTAAATAATAGATGAACGTAATAATAATATAAATGAAAAGTAGCGATGGCAAGGCAAAGTTCAGAAAATGGTAAATGGCAACAGTAAGAAAAAGTTAAAAAAGGAAAGAAAAACTTAAAAAGACAAAAGACAAAACAACGTTTAACGATGTTGAAGTTGGCAGACAGTGAATGAGTGTCAACGGTGGGACAGACTTTGTGTGGATATTTTACCTTCTGTCCTTAGGCTTACGTAATTTTGGTAATTCTTTCTTTTTATGATGTGGGAACAGCTTTAGTGTAGCCCACCCAGAATTTTAACGAAAAAAATATCGCTAAGAATGGCGATAAATGATATGATGTGGCAACCCATACTATTCGGCAAACGCATTGTAAACAAACATTGTAAATTTCTGATTTCTAAAGAGGATGGAATTACGGTTACAGCTAACATAGTGGTCAGTTACATTTATTTAATTTCAATACAAATTACCGAGATACTCATTTACTCAAAGTTAAATGCACGTGCCCCTGTATTCTTACTTTTCCGGCATAGCTTTCTCTCACGCTGCACTGCACGAGGAAATACAATATTTTTTAATTAGAATTCTACTAAAATTAACTATCTAAACACAAAATTCGTAACACTATTTTCGGCGATTGTTTAATGCTCAGATAGTGCGGAGAATATTGTTTTGTAGAGAAGATTTTTGCATTTAGTTATAAATTGCTCTACCCCTACTGTTATAGATATCGTAATTAAAGTATCAAGAGATTTTAAAGGAACATTTAAAATGGGAGTTTTCAAACAAGCGTAAAAGTTTGGGAAAGCCAGGCATTCCAAACGAATATTTTATGTATGAATTAACAAGAGAGTATGAACTTTTTAGAGGATTTTTGATAGATTGTGGATTATTGAAGGATAAAGTTTGTTGTGAAAAATGTAAGATACCATGGAGAGGTATCTTACATTTGGGAAAGCCAAGCAAATGTGAGATTTTCCGACATTGTTTTTAAACTTACATCCTTTTACCTTTAACCATTTTCATTAATTGTTCCTTAATATTTTTTTTCTTTTAAAATCGTGTATAATAGTCGTAAATTTATTTCTATTATCCACGATTTCTGGTGAAATCAAGATGGCCGCTATTTTTGAAACACGGAATTTCCTCGAAAATCTCGATGGTAACCATTTTTTAAAAGAACATATTTCACGCGCTTTGGCGCCAAAAAAAAAAAAAAAATTCGCCAGACTTTGAAGGTGGGCTATACTGAAGCTGTTCCATGATGTGAATAATAAAATTGAATGCATTTTACATATAAAGTTTTCTATTATAATACCAACGCACATCAGTGTAATGCTAGTTTTAAAGGAGAAGAATAAAGTATTTAAGAAGCTAACAACGCTTAGAATTATGGCGTCTTGTTTATAAATAGATTTAATCTAAATAGAGTATAAAATACCATGAATGAACCGATGATGAACATTTTATTGTCTTCCGACTGATCTACTGAAAGGGCAATAAATTTTACATGTGACGCTTATGCCATAATTCGGTTCGAAATTATCATTAAATTCAAATTAGTAAATGGAAGGAGACTATTCTAAAAGAAATTTCAAAAAATACATCTATATAATACATGTACTGATTTTGAACGACATATCATTGACGAGTTTCATTATAAACTTTTATCCACTTGAAAATATTTTGAAAACTTTACAAGCATAAAAATTACATTTAACTTGTTACAATGAAATGTGTGCTACTCTATTGCAGATAAAACGTTTGTTATAATCTTACGTTGAAAAAATCACGTGGTGGATCATATTCGATCATAATGACGATATCGTGAAAGGTAATGAATTGGTCACATCAAATTTTTAACTTCTATGAAAGATAGATACAAACCATTGGAAAGATCACCGTACTGATGAACGTGGAAACCATGAAGACCTGAATTCAATCCTCTGATTTGACCTGACACTGAGACAGGACCGCCTGGTCTCTAAAAAATATTTTTAAAAAGGAATATTTTTAGATTTGGTGGTACAAGTTTCTCTTACATTCTGATTTCATTTACAATAAGCATCAATGTATGTATTAGATAATTAAAATTTCAAATGTCTTATTTTCACTTATTTGTAAACATAACCATTCAAAAGCAAGATAAAGAAATTATCTTGGATAACTGATTGAAAGATTAAATACCTGCTACAAATGTCTATTCTTGTGCGGAATGTTAATACGTGGGCTTATACGATTACTACAAGACGCTTGTTGACAACTAGTTATCATAAATTAGTTAATAAGCAATCAGCAAAAGCATTTCCTGTTTGCAAGTTTCAATGGCGGATGGATTGACAAGGCTATTTTGACAGTGATTATATTCACGTAGTAAGAAACAATAACACTTTCTTTTAATAATGAAATGTTCTAAGCATCTATAGTTTGCTATCGTTTGTTAGTATTATGTTTTCCTTCTTTTATTCTTAGCCCAAAGGAGCAATTTGCCCAGAAGGTCTATTAATTTTGCTTCAGAATTTTGCGTTGGTTCACCATAAACGGCGTTTCACTTTTCAAATTGTTACCCCCAAATATTAGAGCCCTGCATTATATTTAAAGAAATTTAATAATGAAGAATCTGCATGAATGTATATTCATTTCTCGCACTGCGAAAAAAACAACAGTACCTAGAGACATCAAATTTTGAATAACACCACTCGAATATGGCCAATTGGAAGTCCAAATTTGGAATTTGTTTTATCTATTTCCTATTTTGTAAAACTTTAACGAATTTTTATTAACAAACTCAATAATGTCAAAGCGAGCAATGGCAAAACTGGACGGGAAAAAAAGAACATTTATATCCAGCGCACGACAGTGTATCCGAAATTCTAAAGATATGCTCATTTTAAAATTATTTTGCGATATTGCTGTTGAATTGAATTTTATGGTTTAAGTGCGAAGAACATGATATTTAATAAATAAAGGTAACACACAAAACGTTACAAAAAAAAACTCCCCTTTTCAGCTTAATATAAAATTTGAAAAAAAAAAACGTTTATATTTAACAAAAGGGAAATAAAATAACAAAATGCATTCACTAAATATTAGATAAATTCAGTAGGTAAATAATAAAATTTACCTACTGAATATTTATTAAAACATTTATAAACGTGATAAAATTAAGGCGAGTTCGTGAGAATACCATTAAAATGTTCATTCATTAAATTCATTTTTATGAATCATGACGAAGTTGCATTTACGTGCTGAAAGTGTTACCTGTCAGCTATGACAGACAAAAAATTACTTCTTGATTGAATTGTTGGCCATTCTTGATCTGTTGATACATAAAAATTATGTGGTTCAGATAATAATTTTAGGATTACTAATATAAGACCAAAGCCTGTGAAGTCGTAGATAAATGTTAAGTTATTCATCGAAAACGGAGATTTTTTTCTTTTCCATAAACACTATTTACGTATGAAACTAAGTAGTTTGAACACAGTTGAATAAAATTTATTGGCTGGTTTATTAGAAGCTATTGTGAAATGCTAATTTTTAATGTTTCTAATTCCGTAAATTATTTAAAGTTTAGTAGAAAGCTAACAATATAAAATTACTACTATAGCGTTACAAAATTACATCAGAATATTTAAAAAGCTGAAAAACAAGCTATTGAAAATCCCAGACATCACACAGTTTGAAACTGGATGAAAACAAACATTCTCAGTTTTCAAAGTTCATTTTACAGACTGTTCTACTGAATAATATCGAAACTGAATTTCTCATTGAAATAATTTAATTCAAATGATTTGTTTTATACCGTTGTTAAGAAAATTGTTTTTTAGCGTTACCTGCTTCTTGTCAGGGGAAGAAAAAAAAAAAAAAAAAAAAAAAGCCGAAAATTGTTCCAACGATTGCTAATACAAAAACAAAGCAAAAGACGAAACTATTCTTTTTATTTATTTATGTAAATTGAAAAACACCTATCATTTTTAAATATATTTAAAACACCAAAAATTCTTTCAGATGTTAGTAATTGCTATATAGGTGGCTAATTTCCTTATAAGTACTATATGTCTTTTCCAGAAAATTGCAGTGTTCTCTTCCTTTAAAGAAATGTAAATTATTATATGAATTCTGAATTCACAATTTGGAAACTAAGTTTCTGGCACATTAGACGCAAGTATTACAAAAACAAATATTTCACGTACTGTTGTCCCTCAGAGTCTCAACACATAGACGTGATTCAGAACGTTCTAGTTAGACGTAACTCAAAACATTCTAGTTTAACGTGATTTGGAACGTTCTTTGCATGTTATACAGAAGTGTTAACAGTACAAGTATTTGACGTGCTATTGCTCGCTATAAACCTGTAATCTATAGACGATATTCAGAACGTCTGCCCAAACGTTAAGAGAACGTTCTGCTAGCACGTTATAGAAACTTTCATAGAACGTTCTAGGAACGTTATATAAAATTGCTACTAGTACCACATTTTGACGTCCATTAATGACCTACCTCTTACAGACGTAATTCAGAACGTTTTGCCTGAACGTTAAAGAAATGTTCTGCTAGAACATTGAAAGAACGTTCTACTAGAAGATTAACGAAGCTTCCATATAACGTTCAAGGGACGTTTTATAAAATTGATAGTAACATCATTTTTTGACGTTCTACTGCCCGTTATTGAACTGTAACATATTGACATGACTCACCACGTTCTGCCAGAACGTTAAAGGAACGTTCTGTTAGAACGTTAGAACATTCATAGAACGTTATAAAAAACTGATAGTAGTACCACTTTTGACGTACTACTGTCCGTCATAGAACTGGAATGCATAGACGTTGCTCAGAACGTTCAGGTAAATGTGGCAAAAACGTTGTACTAGAACGTTAATGACACGCTGTATGAAAGAGTTACAAACACAAGTATTTGACGTGTTATTGCCGTCTTAGAACTGTAACATATAGAGGGCATTTTAAACGTTCTGCTTGAACGTTCCCGACCCGTTTGTGAAGCACTTGCATTGAACGTTCTCGTGCTAGTTGGGTTGGCTCTACATTCATATGCAGATCAATGCGTTTTAAATTATAGAAAATCATTTTAATGCCTAATAACATTATAGGAACACCAACTTTGATTTCAGTTTCACCACCCTGTCCAGAAGCATACGAATTTAATTAGCATTCATGAGGAAGCAATGGGCATCAAGAATTATAGCAGCTACAAATGCAAATAATAGCAAGGATAACCCGTTGATGGAAATTCCCACGACTTTAGTCTATACCTACAGTATATACAAGTAGTCTTTCTATACCTACAGTAGATTTTAAAATGGATTAAACAAGTGTAGGAAGATGTTTCAACTCACAAAGCTGAAGCACGCAATTTAGTAACAATTTTAAATTAATTTTAAATTAATTATTATTAATAATTTTAAATTAATTATCATGTTAAACTACTTGTATATTATTCAAATAAAAGGAGAAGCGAAAACACATAAATAAATTAACAAACTTTAATTCTACTTTATGTAGAAAAAAGAAAAAGCGATGCGAATCAAGATGGGAGTTCCAAAATATCGGAAAGCTTAAAAATATTTGCAGTTTCACTGTATTAACCTGAAAAACTGAAAAAAGCCGGCGAAATTTGAAACCCAAACAGCTGTCTTGCACTGTCAACCTCGGAGCAGCTCCTGAGTGCAGCAAATGTGACCTCCTTACTAGTTACCATGTCTTGAAAGAAGCGCCGCAGGCAGAATTATAACGCAATATTCAAAGAAACAAAGGAAAAGTGCGGTCTTTGCAACCTTCCTGCATCGAAAACGCAGTCCTCACAGCACTCAGAAATTACATATTTCCTGTACTTTACCGTTTGTTTCAATCGGGTGATATACTGCATGGCCTGAATATTCTTTGAGTAGGTTACTAATGTTTTCGCCGCTTGCACGTGATAAACCAGTTGCTTGGGAAAGAAATCCTTCCAGTAATGTGTGCCACTCATTACCTTAGGCATTTTAAAAAGGGGAAAAGTTAGTGAAAAACAACCCTATTTTGTTAATTTGATAGAATGGAATAACGCTTAATGATGCTAGAAGAAACTTCCGCTTTCACTTCACGACAGGTTAAGGATGCAAGGTCACCTTCATTTCTTATCAATATTAAATTCCGTTTTGATAAGTTGTAGACCAGATGATGCAAGCTTCCAGCCATAGTAAAGGTTTTCCTCCGAGAGGAGGATTTAAATGCAAATTAATTGGCAACTAAATTTTAAAATATAATGCGATTAATATAGTATTAATATATATAAAGTATATTAGGTATTAATGTAAATTATATATTACATTATATATATATGTAGTATATTAGACAGCAATATATGTAAAAAGGAATTAAACCCTGGCATTTTGAGTTCTGTAATTAAAACCACTGTCTTTGAATGTACTTTGCTCGATCGTTCGCAAAAATATCTTATTCAGCGAATGGCATCAATTAGATTGTTTTCTTACTGATCAGACCTTCCAGCTACGCCTAACTTTTAACGCTATCAGACCTACTAGCTACCCTCAACTGCAAATAGAAAGAAACATTTACGGAAATGTTCGAAAAATTACGGAAATTTTCGAAATTTTCGCATTCGAAAAACCCTACGTGAAGACCTCTCAGAAGTACACTTATCCAAATTTATCTTTGCAATACCCCACTTTGATATTCTATGAAATATCCAATCGATATAATCCATGCACGGAATGTGTGAAAAACAAGCCTAATTAGAATTATACAATTAAAAGTGATCAAACGGTTTCTGATATGCGAATCAAGATGTTAACTCATCTAACGGTGAAACAAGCGCTCTGCACAATGTTAATTATCTGAGTGAATTTCTGCAGTAGAGCGTTTGATTTCAGACTCAATACGGTTTGCTACGGCTCCAAAATATCATTTGTAAAAATCTTTGAACTAGCGAATCATCGTCCGTTTAGAAGCAGGGCAGACAAT